GAAAGTAACAGTAGTGGTATTCAGCAATGAGGAACGTAGCACTTCATCTAGCATGAGTTTGCAAACTGAATTGTCTGAGCTCATATAATATAAATGGGAATATAAAATGATAGGATCATTTCAGAAAAAGAGTTTGGAGGCTCCCTGGAACGTTAAATTCATGCTTACATATAGCCCAGAAATTCTACTCCTAGGTGTTTACTCCAGAGAAATGAAGATAGATGTCCACATAAAGGCTTGGACACCAATATTTATAGCAGTTGTATCGCTAGGCCTGACAACCCAGGTGCCCATTAATAGTAGTAGATAAACAAATTGTGAACTATTCATACAATGAAATTCTACTTAGCAATAAAAAGGAATGAACTACTGACCACACAGCGAGGATGAATCTCAAAACATTATACTGAGCAGAAGCAGCCAGACACGAGAGAGTACATATGGAGGATTCCATATCCATGGAACTCCAGAAAAGACTAATCTTTGGAGCCAGAGCAAATGAAGGGCTGTCTGGAGGGATTGTTTTTAGGGGAACTGAATGGGAAGGAGCACAGCAGGAACCGTCTGGGATCGCAGAAATGGTCTGCACCTTGATTGTGGTAGTGATGACAAGGGTATATACATTTTTCAAACCTTATAGAAATGTGCACTGAAAATGCATTTGATTTTACATAAAATATTATGTATAGCTTTGTTGTACATAAATTATACCTTAGTAAAGTTGACTTAAATGGAAAAAAATTGAATGAGTGAAACATTTACCTTTTTTTCTTCTCAAAATATTCTTCCCTTTTTGGACTTTCCACAAGCAACTCCACAAATCAACTTGGTGGGTAAAACAGCGTTGGGACACTGGCAAGCAATCCCCTCATCAGTAGAATCAGTGGATTAGATAATTTCATTCATTCAATATATGTTTATTAATGCCTTCTATGGGCGTTCTAGAAGCTATGCTAGGTTCTAGAGAGACAAAGCTGAAAGGAAACCAGTGTTACCCTCTGCAAGTCACAGCCCAGTGGAAGAGAAAGATGAGCTCATAAAAGCTGACATATAGCTTGTGTATATTTAGGGTTTGAGGAGGATTCATAAGAGACGTCTTCCCTGATGATGCCACACCCGAGCTGGGTGTTGGGGTACAAGAGGTAAAGACGGAAGGAAGAGAAGGCATTCTAAGGGGGTGCTGCAAAGGGCCGAAGGCAGAAGAGGTACCTTGTGTTAGGGACTCAGGTGGGTTAGTGGGT